GTAGCGAAAGCGCCTTGAGAGGCGCCACGCGCGACTTCGAACACAACAACTCGGTATGGTAAGTACGGTCAGCAATCTCTGATCGCAGGTAAATGCACGCTCCATAAGCCTTCTGGCTCGCGTCGCAAAACCCATGTATCTGCACCGATTTGGGATCGCTTGAAATTTTAACACAGCGGGGAATATTAAGCTGATTGATGCCAGCTAATTGCGACTTGAGCGCCGTCCAACGCTCGTGTAACTCTTGCGGGACTGATTCATCCCAATGAACGCCTAGCTGCCAAAGCTCCTGGAGAATTAGCTTGGCCAAAACAATTACCGGCCCCAGCAGACCAAGAGGGTCAAAAATTCTGGAGGTGTCCGCTAATATTCTTCGCTTAGACGTTATGACGGAAATGTCATCGGGTTCGTAATAGAACCGAAAGGTGTCCTGTGAGTGGATCCAATGAATGCCCAATACAGACGATTCTGGGCCATTATGAATAACAACCGGGTTATCGCACTGATCTTTTACTCCGACCAGCAATTCGGAGCAACTTGATGCCCATTTGCCGAGCTCGAAGGCGCCGGAACGCAATGCTTCGATCGTTTCGTCCCGGATTGCTAATGCTTCGTTGATCGTGTCGGCCCCGGTAAGCATGTCGTCGACGTAAAAGTCGCGTCCGACACACACGGCACCGCGGGGCCAAACAATTGCACAATGCTCGGCCAGCCACTTCAAGCATCGCGTGGCCAAGAACGACGCTGGCGATGTACCATACGTCAAAGTGAGAAGCTCGTATGCCACGACGTTAGAAGTGTACTTGTCGCGCCAGAGAATGCGCTGATAATTAGTTTGCGACGGATGCACCATGACTTGGCGGTACATCTTTACAATGTCGGCCGATAGTGCGAACCGCCATGTTCGGAATCGCACTAAGATAGTGAACAAATCCTGCTGAATGGTAGGGCCGACCATGAGGGTATCATTCAAGGAGACGCCCATTGCGTCCTTGGCTGAAGCATCGAAGACGACGCGAAATTTACCAGAAGCCGGTGTCTTGGTAATGCTGTGATGAGGTAAGTAGAAGGACTCTGAAGCATCGCTGGCATCGTCGCCAATTCGCTTCATGTGGCCCAACGCACTGTATTCATTTATGAACTGTGAGTACCGCTCTTTTAATTCTGGATAACGGTTAAGTCTTTTTTCAGTGCCTCGAAGCCGCTTCAAAGCGATATCCCTAACGCCGACGAAAGCAGGAGGCGTAGGCTCCTTGAAGGGCAACTTAACAACAAATCTACCTTGCTCGTTACGGGAGAGATTCTGCACGAAATGCTGCTCGCAAAGTGCCTCCTCGGCACTGTGAACGCCGGGGGACTCCGCAATATTTTCTTGCTCCCAAAAACGCGATAGCTGATTATGCAATTGTACGTTGCTAATTGAGGTGTGAAATGACTGTATACTCGATGATGACCCTGACGGTACATGTGACCGACCGGCCAAGATCTATCCGAATCTCGTTTTTTGTAATGTGGGGCACGCCGGCAACGATCTCATCTGCCCGACACACATCAAATTCCAAAAATGCTCTGCGCCAATCAAAACATCAATTTCCGATGAGACGTTAAACTGAGGATCAGCCAATTCGAGATTCTGAGGAATCTCAAATGCGCTTCTTTTGATCGAAACGGCAGGAAGTTTACCTGTCACATGTTCTGTGACGATGCAGTCTAATGGAAGGCAAAACGAACTTGTGCGTGAATGTAACCTTATGCTAGCTGCATGGAATGATCGCGAAGCGGTGTTATTTATACCCGAAATAGAAACGTCTAATGAACGCGTTCTAGCATTGATTGAGTTTATAAACCGCCGCGAGACGAAATTAGCTTGAGAGCCGGAGTCCAGTAATACGCGACAGGACTTTCGACGACCCTTATCGTCATAAGTGAAAGCGATTGCTGTAGAGAGCATCACACCGTTGTGACCGGTGGCCGTGGTGCTACTCATGACAACGGTAGAGGAACCGCTGGCCGATGCCGTTTCGTGGTCGGCACGACCTTGTTCAGCGGGCGCGGTAGGCTGCACCGACGCCGCGACTGGTATGTGTAGCAATGTGTTGTGCTTGCCTTTACAAATTTTGCAACTGCCTGAAGGGCATTTATTAGCGACATGATCCGTCGCCTTTAAGCAATTGACACAAACCTTGCGTTTTTTAATCTCTGAAATCCTCCGCGGGACGGGCAGTGCCAGAAACCCCTCGCAATGGTACACGAGATGCTCGGATTTACAAAACATGCACTTCGTCTTTATGGACGCCACGCCGGAATGAGTCTTTGAATTCGCTTGCGATTGCGCTCGCGTATTTACATTTTTTGCCTTACTAGTGGCTTCGAGCGTTATACAACGATGAGCGATGAAATCCGTAAATTGTTTTAACGTCGGTAACTCGGTGTCGTTCAATGACAGCTGCCACTCTCTCGAGGTAAGCGCATCTAGCTTGGAGCTTAAAATGTACACTAACAAATCGTCCCAATGCGATGTGGGGCGATTAAGTGCTCGTAGGGCATGTATGTGCCTGTTGGCGCCATTTGCGATCTGACGCAGTTCGGAGATATTCTCCTTTGCCATGGAGGGCAATTCCATAATGGCTTTTATGTGACTTTGAATAATAGCGCGCCTATTGTCGTAGCGATCCTTCAAGAGAGACCACGCTACTGGATAGTTTGCTTCTGAAATTTCTAACGCGCTGATTATCTGGGCCGCATCTCCGGTGAGAGAAGCCCTTAGATATTGCAATTTCTGAATGTCGCTTAATGAAGCGTTTACATGAATGAACGAATTGAAGCTGTCAAAGAAGGGACACCATTCGTCATATTTCCCGGAAAACTTTGGTAATTCTAATTTCGGTAGCCTTATATGACTAAAATTGTGCGTGGCCGCACTACCGGAAAACGATGGCGAAGGCGAAGCCGTGACACGCGACGCCGCTATTGGATTGAGCATTTCGCGCATGCGCGCAGACAACTCGTAATATGAATCCTCGAACGCGACGCGGTGTGACGCCTCAGATTCATCACATTCCTCTATTTTCGCTTGCACGGCATCGTAATCCGACCAATAAGCGTCGAGCTTAGATCGGCGCTCCTCGAGCTGCGCCGCGATGGACGGCGTCACGGAAGTCACGGACCCCGCGAACGTGCGTATCCGCGTGCATGCCGCGAGAATTGCGCCGCGCCTGCGCTTGAGCAAACCGGCATCGACGACGTCATTGGTTGCCATGACGAGAACGAATGGAAATTGTTAGGCCTTAAAGAATGAGCTTGATCGACACCGACACTGAGATAGTTACCCCTACCTTACAATCTCTCGTATGCGAACAGCCGTGCGAAGATGCAGGTTGTCGATGATGTGTCGAACCGTCCTTCCTTCCTTCCCTCCTTCCTTCTGGCAGGAAGCGATGCTGCCGGAAGTGGCCCGTAGAGGCAAGATGGCGGTGAAATCCGCCGCCTCACAAAGATGGCTGTTGCCCGTTGAATGAATGTATGGCCGCTGATGCTGCCCGTCAGAATCGATGGCCGCCGCTGCTGTTGCGAACGGCAGATGCCGATTACTGACTGAAACTTCCTTGCGGACCCCGATGGGCCGCTGATGTGGCGGTTGCTTGGCTGCTGCGCAACCGGGGTGGAATGCGCGGTCCGCGCCGACAACGACGATTCTCGATCCACCAACCTGCACTTGCGGTGGCGGTGAGGATTGCCAGGAGTATCCGGCTCGAAGGACCAAAATGTTAATGATGTGAGAGTGGCCAATAACGCCTGCGAGTTACTGCAGCGTTAGGCCCCACGCGTTTTCCCGGGATAATGCACAAACGGGAAGCGTGGTCGAGAAACACGAGTTCCTCTACAATTAAAGAAGTCGCTTGATGCGATAATCTTC